TAAGGACTTATCAAGTAAGACTACTTAATATGACAATAATTTATTTTGATCTTTTAATCGGGACCGTTCATTAATATTGTTTATTATTTTTTGGTGAATCATTTACTTTGGCTTCTTCTTCTTCTTAACCTAGAAGAATTCTAGTATGGCTCAACTGACTTGTTTTCCATTTATTAATAATTATTACACGCTTTCAATGATGCAGGCATTAATAGCAATTGTGTTGATGCGTTATACATATCTTTTGTGTCTAATTTTGTAGTTTTGATTAATGCTTCGTTATATTGATGGATTGCTTTGTACTTGTCGGACCTCTTCTTTTTAATTACGTAAGAAACTATGCGTAAAGGTGTTAATTAGGGATGATTAAGGTGCAGACTGTTAGAGTGAGAATTGAATGTCCGTTGATTCATATAATAATCGAATAAGATTCGCAGAAATTGGGGTCGGTATTACGTAAATACGTAACTTCCGCATTATTCATACGGATTGGTTTTTTGCCTTTTTTAATGATCGAGTATTCAGCTAATGTATCGTAATACTGACGTAATTTATTAATGGGATGCTTAGACGATGAACGCGATGAATCTTAAGCATTTTCTTTTTATAACCCATAATAACATTTTTGCATTATAAATCATTAAAAAATTGTCTTTGTCCTTCGAGGAATGTCAAAAATTCATTTAACTGGCATTGACATAAAATTGATTTTTCTTATATTTATCCATTCGATCTCCGATTAATTTTCAATGGTAACTTATACAATATTTTTTCTTAATTAATTTTTTAAACCCATCGATTTTGCATTGATACTTATGACTATCATAATTTCATTCGTTCAAATGACTTTATGCAAATAAAAAATATCTATAGCTATACTCAACGGTTATAAACACATATCCAATGGTGATAGCCTACAAAATTGCCCCAGGTTATCGACCATTTTTCAAAAAATGTATTTCAATATACCCAATCTCGATTATCTGTCATGGAGACACATATGAAAGTATCTTAGTGAAATTAATTCTTTTTATTTTATTAACTTCTCCATACATAATTACATACTCTAGTCGCTCAGTGCCAATTTAAAGTAGACAGGACCAGTTTAAATTTTGATATGCGATACGAACATTTCTAGCATCAAAAAAAAACCTATCACACTCTGAAAATTATTTAAAATTTCGTTGCTTATTCGTCAATATTGAATGGAATGTACGGTCCTGCTTAAACCCAATTGGAAATAACTCCTGCAGTACGATATTCATATTAAAAATAATTGCTTATATTAATCGAAAATTAAGGTCAACACAGTTTTGGACACTACATAAGAAATCGTCTCTCTTGCACACACTGTATATCTGTAAGGGTATCAACACCACCATAGTGTTCGCCACTGGGCCCACTGCCTTGCGAACTTTTCATACAGTTTCAAAAATAATTATATAAGTTTCATAACGTATATTCAGGTCATCCTTAGTTAAACACTTTGTATTTAATCGAAAAAACTTGTCTACAATGCGGCTCTTAACACTACAGTGAACGCGTAAGCAGACATATTTAACATGATCTAATATAGAAAGTTCACCAGAGTTTTTCTATTTTTTCAAACAGCACGTGTCTGGATCAAGGCTGTTTACATAAAAAAAATCGTGAAGAGGATCAACAAGATTTTCCTCCTGGTTTCATCCATTGAGATATGAGGGATGACGATGGATGGAAATTCTTTGAATCCGTAATATGGAACGTGGGCGAGTAAGCAAATCCTTATAACTATATAAAAGTAAATAATTTTCAAATTTGTTTTTCAGAATTGTTATACAGATATTTTTTTGGGGACTTGTTTATCACGTATGCTGTTATGCATATACGAGTGAAAGGTTTGGCGACACTTTTTTTTTTGTATTCTAAGAATTTGCATTGTCTGATTTTTTTTTGGCGAACCGCTATTGTGTCATCGAACGAGTGTCTCTTGTGCTGAATGTTGTGATCGGTTTGCTACTGCGAATCGATAGCTTGCCGATCAAGGTATAATGTAATATATAAGTTTCACTGATACGTAACGGAGTGAAGGATTGGCGATTTTACTTATTTCTATTTTTTGCAAATTTTTTTTTTCACGGTACAAATAACTTTTGCAAGTAAAATCGACGGCGATTTGAATTTTTACCGATACAGTTAATTGATGTTTCGCATGACGTTATTTAACATTTCATGGCGATAAAATATTTATTAGATAAAGAAAATTTTTGTGGGAAAAATTACTTCGCTGGTTTTTTGCAAGATTTTTTGATTCATTATTTCAATATCAAGTATGTCATCGATCAATATCGAGAGTATCGTTAACGAATAATTTCATCAAAAAAATGGTCTTTCCAATTTTTCCTTAGACGAAACAAAACGTGGAATGTAACGACCGACTTTTCGTTTTTCATACGACCGATAGTTCCTTCTGCGATTGAAAGTGACGAAAACTTTCGAGAATTAAAGTCAAGATATTAGGCAATGGACCGTTGTTAATTAGCACGTGGCGAGATCCTGTAAAAGGAAATATTTACGAAAACGTACCGTAAAAAAAAAGAACAAAGTTTATTTACCAATATCCACTCTCCGCCATTTATCAAATTCAAATTTGACCACCGTCCTCAAAACTATGCCAAAACGTCGACCGTTGTCCAGCTCGTTGACTACTTTCGAATATTAACGCGCCCCCACTAATTGCACGTATTTTACAAACCAAAAGTATATTAGTTATGCGAAATGAAGATTGATGCCAGTTGACTCAATGGTACCTAGTAGGCGAGCCAAGAGTATAAAGACACGAGAGAGTGCTCCAGTTTACTCCTGGCATAAACTTGGGTTCCGCTTCGTGTATAATAGTAAGCTTGCCCGTAGGGGCCCAATTGAAGTCCCATTTTTAGTTCCTTTTTTCCACGTTCCTGTTTACGACACATTGTCACCATATACGTCCCTGCACGTAGACTTATATCAGCACACGCGAATACACGTGTTTCCTCGTTCCTCGGGTCCAATATTGGTAAGCTCCGTTAAAATGCTAATTTTATATCCAATTCGCAGTCCCATTATTTTCGTACCGACAATGGGCCAGTAATTTCGGTTTGGTAACTCAGCAACGTACAACCACCGGTACCCGAGGGGATTGAGATCGCTGAAACTGCACGACAGTTTCCTATGGTCTCAGGCCTGATGCCCAACGTACGGCATAGAGTTTCTGTACAAGTAAAAGTGGCAGAAGTATCGCAGCCGGACGATCCAGTTTCCGTTCACCGAATAGCTTCGAGACACGTGTCAGTCATAGCGGCTTCCGTGCTCTCATAATTTTAGGACGATGACGACGATGACGCCGACGATGACCATGGCCAACTGTTTTCTATTGTGAACTGGTTCTGGGATCATGAGCAATGGGACCGGTGCCTCGCGAAGGCATAGCTGGGCCTTATGACTAAGATCACTCATGAGATTTTTCGGACTCGCGGGACCTTGTCTGTATTAAATTCCGGATCTAAATAATGGACCGTGCACAACGTACAGGCTGGTTATCTCGAAAGGAATCAGTGCAAGTTCTACGTGCGGGCATTAACGTTATTAATTGTCTATCAACTTGCCTCCAATGTGCAATTATCTCCTGGGGCTATTTCAGACCAATTTCGAAAAGACTTTGGGTCGTAAATATACAAAAAATTCATTAATGATCTGGTATGGTTTCCGTAAAGAGTAGCAGGTGCTGTCTTTAGTCATTCACATAAATACTGTATAAAATTACTAGGAAATTAGAATTTTCGTGGAATTATTATCAGACACGGGATTTATAAATAAAATTTTTGGAAAATCTAATTTTATTGTATTACGTGTTTTATCGTTTGGTGGGAAAGGTCAGGGAATTTTGAAGGTCAAGTGGCATTACTTTGCGGAATGTTTATGATTATGTGAAAAGTGACGATTCTTAATGACCGCGTAATAGTGTCATTTTAACTGGGTAAGTATCGTAATTGTACGTTCTAGTGAAGGCCGGTGTGAACGGTACATAATTTGTAAGGCTGCTGAGGAAATGTATATGCGTTCGGTAAAAGTATAGCTATAGCTGTATGAATATGTATGCATATATGTAGAGACGGCTTATGGTCCAGTTCCGTTCACTGAATTATTAATTAGCTCAAAGACTCATTTAAATTCTGGCTCAATACTCTCACTTCACTTGTGCCTCTTACATACGCGCGATCGTTTTGTCTAGGCGATTTGATTTTTCGATCGAGAGTAGCCATGACGTTTACTTCGTAGCGTATAAAAAATTTAACATTTTGAAGTTTCGTTCAAAATTTTTTTTTTTCGGAAAATTGATTTTTTTTATATAAACTTTTTTTCCCGGTACTTTGATAAAATAAAGAAAATTTCTTTTTGATAATTAATTCGTCGAGGAATTCGTAATGAGATTGTTTATCAGAGTGGTAAAAAGCAATGAGAGTCGAGCATGTTGTAAATACGCAGAAAAGAGAAATTTGAATACTTGATGTCGATATCGCGAAATACGATCCGAGGAATCTCGAAAGCGGACAATTCGATTGGCACGCAAAATTCTTCCCATTGGTCCATTCGGGTGGCTGTGGTATATATGTTTTTGTAACAGTCGGACCGATTGCAATCTTCGAATTCGGCACTGACATTCGTTAATTCGCACACGTGATATATTTCTTGCCAATGTACGCCTCGCAACGTGCGAAATCGTCGATAAGAATTTTAAAGCGGCAAATCGCAGAGTCGGTCGTCGCCAGCGAAGCGAGCGCCTTTAAGTTGGTTACGTATCGGACATTGGGGGCCTAAGGCCCCGATAATCGATGCCTCTTACGGCAATCGATTTTGCAAAATGGGTAAAAAAAATTTTGTAAATTTGAAAAAAGATTACATCAAATTTTGCTAAAATAGGTACGAAATTTTTCATTTTTTTTTTTCGATCCTTAATATGCAATTTTATCATTATAAATAAATATGCCGCAGGTTGCTATTACGCTAAGTGTTATAATCGGTTTACGAAAACTAATTTACCCTAAAATTGATACTTCGCGACAATTACTTCAGTCGTTCCGATGATTGGTGGGTTCAAGAATTTTTCTTCACGTTCAATTTCTTTTATTGTTTTCTCGTGAAATTGAGATCTCTCTCTCTCGCGGACAAGATACCAACGTAACTGTACAAATCGTGAACACGACCCATTATTATGTGTAATCTCGGTCACGGGCACGATAATAAAAAGAAAGGATTCGTCGTCCAAAAAAAAAGTGCATACACAGAAAAGTGCATCGCGCCCAGAGATCATATATAGAAACGTAGAAACTGTACGAGGAAAGTGCAGCAGGTGCATCGCGAGAAAGTAAAAGAATAGCCCGTGAAATTATCCAGATAAATTTTTCATTAACGAAATAGCTATTATACCTAATCTTTGAAATAATTTATTACACACTTTTTATATACAGATATCGATTTTATCAATCGATCGATAATCAATATTCCACAGTATCAATCAATTGAACGAGGGATCGTTCAACTTTTCTGCCGTGTTTAATTAGGTTGTCAGTACATTTTTTACACTTTTTTTCAGTGGCAGTATCATGCGCGTTACAAGCCCATGTATCGTATAAAACTTGCTAAAGATGCAATTTCTCTCCCGAGTCACGAACTGCATCACCGCATTGGTTGATTCATGAACCCTGAAGATTGATCACCATATATTTCATTTAATCTTTCCGCTTCCTTGATTCGTTGCTCTTGCACTTCCGTTTTTTTTTGTTTTTTTACCAAACAAGGTAAATCAACTAATCGCTCAAGATCACACGAGCTAAACAAACATTTAAAATATTTTCATGCAACACTGTGCTGCAGCTCTTGGAAACGCTTCTAAGAACCATTGAAAATAAATAGAAGCCAATAAGTATTAATTAAAGATGCACATTACGCAACAGTATAAAAATACGATCTATAAAGTTCCAAGAGTTCAATGAACTGCATTATTATTATGATTACGTCCTCGAATAAATTCTATTCACGAAACGCACGATTCGTAAGATTCGCTTATTATCGCATTACAATTAGGCACGTGTAATTTTTTTCCTCCTCAGGAGCGGCCCAGAGATCGCTAATGATTTTCGTAATTGTACAGCCTCTTGCGAAAGAAGGTGCAGCACGGGATAACAGATAGAGCAACTGCAGTCGAATTAATCCACGTATCTCGAGCAGCATATAAAACCTATGAGAAATATTTTCATGGTTATGTCACGTTAGGCGTTAAAGAACTCTGCATATAACGTGTAAAGTCATTCCACAATAATTTCTATGCAACAAAACGATGCATCCTATATAAAGCAGCATGCAGCATACCCATAACCTATGCACGTCAGCCAGTCTCTGTTTACCAAAGTGCATTTCCTGAAGCCACGTTTCCTCGTGAATCTTTTTAAGATTTCCGTAATACCATTAATTACATCACAGACACGCACGGAACGTTAGCCATACGAATCTAGAAAACGACACGTTACGAGGTTAAGCGAGACAAAATTTCATGAGGGCAATTTAAAAGTTTCACTCTACCTCGTACGTCCTGTCTGCAAATACGATATTCCAAGCATCGCAATAATACGGAGCTTATATTATTTTGTTCACAAGAAATCACATGGGAATCTCTTTATTCACTGGACCTACAATTACGACGCTTTCGCGTCCTTTCGTATCCCATTGCATTCCCATTGCACCGGACTTGACAGATAACCTCACTCAGTAGGAAACAGCATGCACGGCGACGATTGGTCGCGCACGAACGAGTTCGACTCGAGGAATCGAGACTCTCGAATCTCGATTGGTCGCTCGATATATTTTTTTCCCTCTTGCCTTTTTCCTCCCGACTTAATTCTTTTATCATTTTTATCCAATCGACTCTCCGTCGAGCGGACAACATTCGAGTTAGGATTTTAAATAATTTCTATACGAAGTGACTCTTGGCTCGGTACTTTCACCATCTTGTGACACCATTTTACACCTTGCAGCCACTGGCCTATCCGGGCACTACTCTAGTCAATTCGCTTCGAACGATACTCGCTCTTTGGAGACGCTTCCGGTATTTGAATTAACATACGTTGATATTCAAAATAAATTACGAAATGACTGACGTCGTCGATGTAACGAGTGAGAGATTTAATTTTTTTATTTTTTTTTTACTATTAGTTTCGTCACTCTTATCACTTTTAATTTCGATCCCTGGCGCGCGTTTGAATCTAGCTTTTTTCTGCACGCCTCTTATCGTTAATTGTGCGATTTTAATTAATATTAACTCAAAGACAGGCACGGTGATCAAGATATGAAAAAGTTTAAAAAAGAAAGGTAGACATTTTATTGTGTTAGCCATTCGTAACGTTATTGTCATAGTTATGACATCCTGGCATTGCCTCTGAGATTATTGGCTGTAGTAATACTAAGTATCAGCATTGGGTAATACCATTTTAGTCATTACAATGGCAATGTATATACATAAGTCGTTATTACTTTATATTTTGAGTGAGTCGTCACGAGTTGTTAACCGATATATAAATTTGGGTACTTTCACTAACATTTTTTTTTAATCTTCTTTTTTTGACAGTTGCGCTAATCTACGCGCAGTATCGCGAACGTGATTGCGTTTAATAAATAAGTTGCTACGGGGCTACTTTTTTAGTAGGAAAGACAAAATGACTTTCCCGAAATACACTTGTCGGCTGAATTCCAACGATATTTTTTTTAAATCCAGCATCGTTTCACTTTGAGCAAATAGAAATGTCTTAACGGTACGACCAAAGGCTACTTGGATACGTAGAATTGTTAACCAGCAATCGGATAGGAGAACGAGAGACTTGAAGCGAGTTACTAATGGTACAGAAGTAATCTTAGTGGCTGTGGCTGTACGCCAGGAAGGTAAGACATCTTTTTTTTTACTTTGAATCAGGCAATTCCGTTTACGTCGCAATGGGATAACTTGTAGAACCCCACCGGAAGCAGGAACTTGAGATAGTTCTTAGACGTAGGGAACAAGATTAGAAAAGTGAGAAGAGATATAAGAGCAAGACCGGTTGTACATTTCCTGGCTGGTTGCCATTGACAACGGATAATCCAAATTGATTTGTCGGTAGTTTTATGAAAACTGGGTTCATTGACCTTAATGCAATTTTATTAGAGAATTAATTGCTCGTGTCAATAGGACGTTTCCTGAAACATGTATACATATATATTTTTAAAAATTTTTCGATAACCAATGAAATACTATCTCGAATTTATTTTCACAGCATCCAAATTTTAAAAAAATACTGAATCAAGTTCGTTTGAATTTTTATTATCCACGTGGCGAGGAATTGTTCAACTTTCAGTCTTAGAGTCGGCTATGTTGGTATGCCTGTATACTGGTATCAGACTCTGACACGCAAATAAGAGGAAAAGCGTTGCGGAGAAAGAAAGAAAATGATGCATCAAAGCGATTGGAAAAATTATACAAGACTTTCCACTTGGGTTTACGCGTATGCCTTCGTCACTACGTTAATCAAGATAATTCTTAAACGGCGATGAAAAAAACATTCACCAGGAAATTTGATTGTTGCTTTATGAATTGAAAAAAAAATTTCCAATTCCCCGCCTTTCGAATTCAGATTTACAATATTACACGGTATGCTGACTTTACATAATTCAACGTAGACTATCCTTCGACGTAGTAAAACTTGCCATAGCTTTTTTTATATTTCGGAATTTCATCGTGCAATTTCCCTGGAGTATCAATTATCTGCGGTTAAACGATCCCTCGTAAAATTAATTTCACGTAATCAAAGTTATTCGGCTCTATAGATACATAGAGTATATAAGGAAACGCTTATGCACTGACTTAAGGCTCACTTTAAACTGGCTCGTTAACCTAACGAATCCTCGAATCGTGGGGTAGATATTTTTAAAAATTTATCATTACGTCATGACTCCAGGCTACGTATCAAGTTATATATATATATTTGTTATCCTAATATGTACCTAAGCCTTTAGGGGATTTTTGATTTCGAAGGTTTTCGAAATTACACCAATCATAATAAATTGTCACATTTTCTTACTCGAATTAAATCGAAGGTTCGACTGTAAATATATATTTTTTTTATAATTAATAATTAGTAATATTTGCATGCTTAACACATCCGTCTGGTATTATTTAGATTTTTATTAATTTTCATAATAATAATTTGCTGATTTATTTTTAATCGAATACGGAACACTGACTGACTATTGAACCGTGCACGTGTTTTATTAAGTCTCTTTATCTTCTTTTATACACCCGTGATCCATCATTGCAACTTTGTTGCAGGCAATGGGTTGCAACTGTGATTTCTCATAGAATGCACGTAGATTATCCTTTCGTACTTATCATTTTTTTCACAGCTTATAGGAACTGTCAGACTACCCGGTATTAACAGTCGTTAATTATGAAATCGTGCGGAACGTTATTTTATTGTAGCTACAGTAGATGAACGTGTAAAGGATTTCGTCCAGGGGACTTCTTTACATTAAAAGTCGTAAGAAGAAGACCCCTCAAAAAGCTCCCTTACCAACTACAAAACGGTTCCCAATGGTTCAATTACAAGATGGATTTTACAAATGTGCAAAATTCAGGTAACAATTATTTTTTATTACATTATTATTTATTGGACAAAAAAAATGTTTTCGTCCTTAAATCGATCATTTATTCGTGACGTCTTTCATTCACCTGACATGTCCACGACTTTCCTTGCGAACAATAGTCATTGATAGTCAGACTGTATCGCACATAAATCTATCCGAGAATACAAAAAGACTATCAGCACGGAATGTTACCATTTGCTGCGATAGAAATTCAAACTAAATATTCAAACGTGGAACCGTCATTGAAACATGTTATGGAAACGTACGTGATACCGATCGAGATTGTTCATTGGTTGCTTTCGAATGATTGTCATTTTTCTTCTCTCTCTCTCTCTCTCTCTTCTTTGTCTTTCCCTTGTTTGGATTTGCGTGTGAATATTTCCAATTGATCCTCGCGCCGAATATCCTAGAATTCGAAAGCTTTGGTCAAATCGTGAAAACTCAAATGGCCAGAGACAAATCGAGTCTTTGGATTTAGAATGAAAATAAGGTTATACGTACCATCGTTATACATAGGCGGTTTCGAAGTGATTGTTATTCCATATCGGTAGTGGAATATTTTGAAATTCCGTTTTTTTGCCAATTCCATAGTCGATATTAGTATCGATGGGTTTTACATTGAAATACCATAGTCCGATATGTGTAACCAGAAATATATTAATGCCTCATGTATGATTATTATTGGAAATCATTGTAAAGAAAATTTTAATGCTCACCTTTGTTTTTTCATTTCGTACTTGAAATCTGACTTTACGCCGTGACGCGATGGACGCTAAAAATTTTTTCTCCATGGATTCTCCGAAGTTCGTATATGATTTCGTTGTTCTTATGAAATTCACATATATCGTATTCTTTATTGCGTACGATTAATTGGACAGATCCAATTAATCCTGCGAATGTGATTTTTCTTACATTCCATCAACGTCTGGCATAGCGGATTCTTCCCTTTCGAATTTCACGGTACTCGTTAATTACGAATCTGCATTATATTAATTGATGTAATAATAACAATTTCTTTTTATTAATTAATACCGTATAAATGTTCCAGTCGATCGGCCACTTTCCCTGTATGAATTTTCTTCGCTCTAGCGTGACGCTAATGATATAGTAAGTGCTCGTTATTTTAACATATATTTTATACTGACAGTTCTCAACTGACAGTTCACGTTTGTCATTCCGCCCAGACAAGAATTCAATACCCGATATTGTATTTTGCATTGATTGCCGGTTCCCATCAAGAATCCTATATCCTTATCGCGACTTTGGTATAGACGCTTAGCCGTGGAAAATTTCGAAAACTCTTTTCGCTCAGTTTGCAAAAATATCTGCAGCAAGAATGTTTTTTTTTTTTTCTAGTCAAGTAAACATGGCAATTTCGTAGTCACCGGATCTTGGGAAATCCACTTAAGAAATAGGAAGCAATTGCCTTTGCGGATTCTGGAATGGAATGCTGAGGTACTGCTGAGAAAACGTTGAAAACTTTCGAAATTTATCTCGTTAATGAAAACGCCTATCTTCGAGCAAAAACACATTGCTGTGTTCATAACGAGTATATAAGAAAATCTTAATGTAATGAAGAAATCTTCTTTCGCACGCCTTTCGGCACGCATAAATGCGAGTTCACAATTAACTTTTCACGGTTCTGATATAATACGCAAGTGCCCGAGATGAAAGTGCGGCATTACGTCTGTCCGAAACGTCGTATCGGTTTATTTGAAAATCTCTCTGACAAGTAACATTTGCATTGGAAACAGGCACGGGAATAACGGGCTGTCGATCAAAGTCCAAATTCTGCCGAATATTCTTAAGGAGCGTTTACAAGAGCGCGTAAAATTGACCTGAGAGAATTTTTCGATTCGTCAAGAAATCGCATACGTATTTACGTTCACATGAACGCGACAGAATTTCGATAGGATCGAAAAGGATCGTTTTCAAGCGAACGTACAGTTTCCTCTTTAATTTACGACGTGAGCAACGTATCGCTACATAAGAATATACCTACTTTCTTTTTTTTTTACAAACAGAGAGAGAGAGAGAGAGAGAGAGAGAGAGAGAGAGAGAGAAAGAGCAATCAAGAGGTACTTTTCCTTGACGCTCTTTGAGAGTGCGCCTGTATAATTTAACAGGGAAGGACTGACTGCCTATTGCGGATCCGCCATTAATTTCCATGAACAATGGGAACTCGTGATGAACAGGATCGACGATCGAGACATTTCGGCGAATTCACATGAGAGCGTCGTCGTCGCTTTTACGTAATTGAAATCGCCGCAGGTGTAGGTATACGATTCATTTAACGGGCTAATAATGTAACAAGCCTAATTTCTATTGTAGCGATTTCGGATCGATGGGCATGCAGGTCTGTAGAAACAGACGAACAATGGAGAGAGGTTCACAATGAACGTTTGACACGAAAAGATACCTGTTCGTGCGTTCGCAAATACACCGAGCCCGTTAAATTGGGTAAAGAATTTTTGTCATTGGAAATCCGAGAGAAATTCATTAATTGGCGGCAATTAAAGTCGTGTTCGAATTATTTATCGAATCCTTAGTTCTGTTTTTAGAGATCTCCCGTACCCTTGCCGTAACGTCGAAGCTCATTTGAATCGGCAGTGAGAGTCTACGAGATAAGTTAACGACGCGATCTCCAGATCTGCCTTTGGCGATGCAATCGTCGAATTTACAGTCCCTACCTCCAGTCTAACTGTCCAGTATGAACGTAACAGCTGAACAGAGAACAGTCGTCAAATAAATTTAGATCAATGCAAATTACATATTCGGCCTTTTATATGAAAAAATCGTGTAAAATCACAATAGCTGCGAGTGCGAGAGAGACGGACCGATGGGGTTTACCGCGCGTAAGAGAAGGACAGAGATACCGTTGACTTAAATATCCGTACCCAGCCCTTCGTGCTATCGGCCACGCTGCCAATGTAATTCTAAATGTCCATGACTTTTACAATAAAAGAAAATCAATAAGGTTTTAACACTAAACCGATTTCATAACGAATGACTTAGGAAAGTTTGTGACACGGGATTAATAATATTTAACAACTTTCTGTTTGCATTCATTTCTTACTCGACTAGGTATCTTCGCGTTAAAGAGTAAAAAAAAGATAGCCGTGGCTATTTGGTTAAACGAAATTGAACACGTGACCCAAATCTATCACTGTATTGAACACTCGATGTACGAGTGCTGAACGAAGACGAAAATAAATTCCGCCCGTACTTTGATTCACGTAAAACTTTCTCGTCCTTTAATAGTACTATATTCGTACAATAACGCAATCGTGTACTAGTATATAACCGCAATAAATTAAATGCAGTTAACCAATGCGATATAGCTTAACCATATATAAATTTATGAACTCATAACGTAATTCGATTAACTGTATTACCACTGTATTAATTAACAGATCGACGCCGATCAGACAGCTGATTTATATTATATACAAAAATAAATTTGCACGTTTCGCAGAGGCACGTTCATTGCTCATCGGTCCAACTCAACTGTGTATGGTACTGGTGCCCACGCGTGGGACGCTTTAAAAAAAAAAAATTGATCTCCAAACTAATTAGTATGATAAACGAGATCACACACTCATTAAGACACTCTTTCTTAATGGCTATCAAATATTGTTCCACGCACGAATTATACTTTCTAAACGCTTTTCACTTTCGTTCTGTTTATCCAGGACCAAGCCAAGATGGAATTTCGCTGTAGATCCCTTTCTTCCACACGTCGATCGATCCTCGTACGTCGCATCTCGCTCGAGCATCTTTAAAATCCATACTGCTGGGTGCGAATTTTGACCAATGTGGAATTCAAGGGTCGATCAGCAGAAAAAAATAATCGATTTCCGGCCTTCGATTCTTCTTCGTCGTCAAAGCTGATGGTAATCGGATGGACTCCTGGTTAATGTCGATATACGTCCTATTGGAAACAGAAAAAAAGTCATATGTGAAGTGATCCACGTGGGGCTTGACTTACTGGAAAGCAATTCATTAATTATTGAATCAAAGAGTAATTAACATATGAAAGCGGCTTGTCTCTCCTCGTTAATGGCGACAAGCGTAACATATTTTCATACCTGATGCATCGCATGGTGACACGACGCATACGAGAATGCTTTGACAAGCACGGAGCCTCATGTGCATAATGTCTGGCTGCATTCCCTTATGCACTCAGGTCCGAATGGCTCATGCATTTAAACATGCACTGGCATGCACGGTAGCGATCGGGATGCATTTGCGTATATATACGTGCCATTGAGTTTTACATCGATTCTTCGTACTCGAGTTATTTCCCTGAAACGAGTTAAAATCCTGGAAAAGAATGCAATCTCCCCGTAATTCGTGATCAGGTGAGAAATTACGTTGGAGGAAAATTGGTTGGTCACATTTTTTTTTAAATCTTTTTGTTTTCTGATAAAAATATATATAACCGGTGAAGGGGAACATTGGTATAAGAAACTAGGAAGCTGTGCATTTTAGCGAGTCTTCTGTAAGAAAAGTGCATAAGGACTGCATACGATGCACTGGTATGCTTAGGAGTGGAAAGTTGCTATTTGCTGAAAGTATCAATCGTTCTGTTGTTATTTGAATTATGCGACGTCACATGTGCGTATACGAGGTTACATCGATCGAATAGCTTATCGATATTGGATTTGTGTGATGTATTGAATAAATTAATGGGCATGAATGCAGTCGCGTTGCATCGCTGGATAAACTTCAGGAAATTTCTATGAAATCGATCAATGAATTAATCGATGAATGAATGACGCTTTTTCTTTTATATTGAAATTTTTTGTTTTCTCATTGACAATATTTCTTCGATTATTAATAGTCTTTTAGAACAATCATGTATATGTATATACTGCGACGCGTTACTGTACACTTTCTCTATTGTTTTGTTACTGAGACTTTATGAGAGACTTTTACATGCTTTTACGTGTAGTTTATATAAGAAATTTGTGATGGTTAATCGGCTGCGGTGTACGAGAGAAAAAGATTATGTTTTACGCAAGAATCGAGATTTTCAATTAAGAACAATACACGGTCAGAAATTTCTCATGCTTTATTTAGTATCCACCCGTGTACTTATACTGTGCTATATAACTATATGTACGTACATAGTACGTCCACCAGTAACGGAATAACCTATTTACTTAAGGTTCGCTTTTATTTGTTTAGTGGCGCGTTACGTTTAAAAATCCATTTACGATCTAGGCGAGCAATGATTTATATGAAATATAATATATAATCGCTATCTTCGATTATTATACACTCTTAGTCGCGTTATTGATAATCACAAGGGAAGTTAGTGTAGAGCTATCCAAAATAAAAAATCGATATACATTTTCAAGATAGAATAAATAGCTATGTAATCTATATGGAACCACGAGGTTTTAATTAGTATAATTAACAAGCAGCAAACCATTAACTTGATTGGATCCTCTCGATTGGCTCGAGATGCACGAAGAGTCTTCTGCTTTCTCATCAATCTTAATCTTGTTACGCGTTCTACGTTAACTGCATGTTACGTATATCTAACGTCTTTCCGTGCAACTATGTATACGTATATGTATTTACTGCAAAGTGCAGCAGTATCTCTGCACGCGAAACTTCAATTGCATAGACTTGACACAAGAGCTTCTTATCCATATGATGTTATCAGGCACAGCAATCCAGATGTAGGCAGATGCACCGTGTACCTAAATAATTATCATCAATTTTTATCTAGATAACATAAATAATATATACAGTATTTATAATACGTCAGAAACAAGTCAGCCAAATACGTCGTACAATGACACCCATGAAAGTCATGTTCTTAATTTTTCTATCATTAAAATAAAATGTTCCTTTGTTTACGAAACAGGATCGAACCGTTTATTCGATTGCATTAAAGTACATAGGTGACATTTGAAAACTGGTTTCCAACTATTCTTACACTGTTCATTGTAAACGGTGACTCGACGATAACTGCACATAGTATTATACTGTAGTAATATAATACTATAGTTCCTAGGATATCGTAGGTACGTATAAGTCGTGTTTAACTATAGTTTAGTCTTATCCTTAAGATACCATAATTATTTATGCCAAAGCATATAATACCTTACGATTGTACTATTCATTACCGACTTTTACTTACCGAATATTTACGTAGCAATACTCACAAAAATCACTTTCTACAGGATCGTTCGTAACTCCGAATCAGCGCAGCGTGAATCCAGTAGCACTTGACTGTTTATATAATGCATCTATATCTTTATGTATTCATACCGAACTGCCGTGAAATTATCCCATACAATTTTAGATCACGGTGAAAATATTTTATAGCCGGACATTACTACTCAATGTATCCACTTTTGTAGATTAGAGGTTCCTATTGCTTTCTGTAATAATAAAATATAAATTTTTTTTGTACTCTTCTTATATAATCACACTTACCCTGTACTATTGTAATTTTTAAGTATCGTTACCATTAGTTATCGATCCGCATTCAGGAATACGTAGTTCAGGGAATACACACATAGATTATTGAATTAGCATACCTCCATCCAACTGCGCTGGGTGCTGACGGTTATGCAATTCTCTCGCATCGCTGAGTACTGCAACCAATGATATGTAAATAGATCGGTGCAGTTTTTGCGGCATTCAACGACTTTCACTGATATTCGTAGCGAGGTCCGCTCTGGCCGTGTAACACGTTACAACTTACCACCGATGGCCGTTACCAACAGTCTATTTATTATTGTGTACACGTGAAATATGGCTCACCCGGTATATATTGTTGGTTGCCAGTTGCCGGTTGCGACAACCAGATGTTGCTGGAACTGGTGCGCATAACAGTTTCCATTGGTCCGTTCTAGTTGGAGAATGCCTGGAAAGACTGTAGCATTTCACGTAAACTGATCTTGGCTATTGGAATACCAGCGCAACGTTGTATCTATGGGAACAATGGGGAATGCGTGAGAATCGATCGGCCGTGTACGATTGTAAATTTGGATTATTTTATTATACGATAATTCATTTATTCCTGTTTTATTCTATGAGCTAAATACTGCCGTTACAAATGTTACCAACCAATTGTCCGTTAATGCCTGCAGTTGAAAATTTACCAAACGAGACAGTCATGTGTCTGGGAAAGTGTCGAGATATTAATCGCGGCATTACGTTTGACCATGCGTAACAATTTTTATAATACCTGTGATTATCTAGTGAATAATACCTCAATATCTGTTCAGTGTTATTCCATTATTGATTTACCGATTGAAACTTTCCTCGTTTTCGTGTAAGCTTGACGTGCTGGATGTTATATAGTTTGTAGGTTACACCAAAGTTACACCATCTGCTCATTATTCTTTCTAAAAATCACATATTGCTCCACATTGTAATTTATGTACGTTTACAGAGTGGCAATAATTGTCACGGATGTCATGTCACACGATTCGTATCCGTTCGTTCGGACGGCGGACGTACTGGAACATCCGTGAGCTGTCAGTCGGTGCAACAGGATACATAAAAATAATAAACGCAATATATTCCAAGGTATTGGGTAACTTCTTCGATGGGTATTTAACGTTGCATTAACAACTTTGCACATAATCAATGGATATTTGCCAAGCCGTAACGAGCCAACTAATATAAAGCAGACTTGAATTCCTGCATAGTAACTGTGAACACACCTTAGTGAATTGAACTAACCTTAAAAATCAGCTGTTTTGAACTAACACGCATATTTCTCACTTTTTTAAAGGAACCATACAATCAATCATCATTACCAGGTATATAAATCAGTAATGTATCCAGATCGTATGACTGATCATAATAAAATAATTCACGGATCAATGCTGAGATTGCACCATCTATGGGATAACAGGGATACCAAACTGTCGATTTCCCTTAGATCGGGATCAATGGGCTGTGGATTAATCATATGTTACAGAAAGTTCATATTGTACGCGTACATACATACGAGGTTAGTATGCATCGCGTAGGTACCAGACTTTACGCCTTGTCAAGTTGTAAACACCAGTGTCAACGTATAATGTTACATATGCCTGAAGCATATTAAGCCTAATAAAGTATAATGAGGCGTGCGCCATCTCTAGGTACTTCGTCCAAATGTCCGTACAGGAACATAGAGCGGAGAAGCCATGTTTGAAAAAATTGACCGATATTTCTAATACACGACAGGCGTGACAGTGACATCAGTGTTAGGTCCCAAAAAATCTCGTTGACACGTGGACCACTCCCAAACTACAGGTGGGCCTTCTTCCTTTTAATATTAATAACGATCCCTAACCATACCCACTGTATCGGTTGTGTCTATGCATAATCAATTGACAGATCAGGTTAGATAGCATGTTAGTATCCGTTGCTGGTTTAATTTTCATAAAAAGGCGGTCTTCGTCGTCTCTTACCATATAATCCTTGTTATCTTATTTTGTTATCTCTCTACATGTCTGTACTGACTGGTTTATGTTTCACGTATGTTCTACCTATGACTATATGATTTTGGGCTGACTTGTATACATGATTTATTTTTCGTTGAGCTTATTGCGTTCTTTCGACGTACTTTCCCGAACGTGAAGATTTTGAGGTTAATTGACGCGATCGAAGTGGTTAAAATGAATTCACATTTTTCCTGCTACTGTCTTACTTCTTTTATTTCCTTTGTTTTTTAGCCACGCAGAGAGGTCTTTGAGAACTGGGTCGAGTATCTGGATATTTCGAATCGTCAACTAATGAACCTGCACGCTTTTGGGAACGGAAATCGAGCCGGAAGTAAGCACTTGCGATTGCTCGTTAACCGGTTTTGTAATGCTGAATTAAATGGTGGTAAGTATATGTAATAGGAATACTCTTGCGATTTTCCTGCTGTTATTATTCGTCATGAAGTTTCTATCATTGTCAATACTTTAGGTAGAATTATTTTTATAGATAAATATCTATTTGGTCAAAATGAATTTTCGTTTATTTTAACAATATAATTATTATGACAGGACACGACAGCTTTTATTATGTGCTAAGAGAAATTTCTTTTTTTCTTTTTATTAAACTTTCATCCGTAGGCGTCGATACTCTCTTTAAATTCTATTCATATGAAAATTTAACAATGTTATGTCAACTGGTAGAACCTGTCAAAGTGCTGCCCATTGCCAGTTGCAAATAACCAATAGTTTTGAAAGACGTCAGGTGCGAGTTTAGTAACTTCGTATACATTGTGACATAACTATTAAGGCCTGTAGTGTTCTCTAACGCCTAAAGTAATAAAGTAACGTTCCCAATGTGCGCCGCGCCCTGATCTGTATCTGGAAAGAGTGCGTTAATTTTGCACAATCTCGCACTATCTTCGGCATTGCTCCCATTTACCAGTAGCCAGGAATGCGTTTGTTATCCTGCGTTAAAAAAAGGGCGTAGAATTCAATGAAGTATTCTCCTAATGAACATGGATCATAATTAAACGCACAATTACAGGTATGAAATTACATCTGTTTAGGAAATATAGATTTTCTTACTAATGATTTTCTAGTATGCTGAAGAATTAAGTGAAATTGGAAACTCATGATTTTGTCGTAGGCGTTTGTACAGTCCCTCTTTTTTATCGACCGAGAAAAAGGGATCGGACTACGTCATTTATGTTAACGACCTTCAACTGAGTCCAATTATCCTTTGGCTAACTGGGTTAAAACTTAAGCAACTTTAATCGGACTCACGATCTAAAAAGTCTTGGCTGAGATTGGAACGTGACGTTTTTTTTTATACAGTAGGTCCTGATAGTCATGAGGGTCCTGGATTTTGTTTGGCTATCAAACGGCCATCCTTAGTGACGGTGGGGGTTGCATGACGAACTTGAACGTGACTTTCTCTGGTTTCTTATTGTCTTTGCGCGAGTTTCCTATTTCTTAGACCGAGTCTCCCAAGCACGCAAATTCGTAATGGCCAATCGGGTTGCGTCGTCACAAGCATTTTCTTCGCTAGGCTAACTACAATTATGTAATTAAAAAAGATATGGAATGCTAATTCCAGAACGAGCTAAATCTCCCTGTAACATTTTTTTCTATGTTTGACAACCTTACGTAGTTATACTAGGGTTTTCATGGCGAATCATGTTGCCGTCTACTTATGCAAGCTTTGTTGCACTGTTTACGAGTTCTTATATCAGCCATCCCATTTGTGGATGGTGATCGATTATTTATAATAACATAAATAATTACTTCATGTAGCTACCTCTCACTATAAAACTATCATGGGCTTTTACCATGAAGACCTTGCCCTGGACAACGCCCAGTTCACCCCACGTTTGGAGTATTTGCCATCGGCTAAAAAAAACGACTAGCGGGTGGTCCGTTTGGCCATTGAATTCTAAAGGTTCATGGACGTTGCTCTGAAAGAATGGACCAATTGGGAAATTAAAAGGTCCGGTTTCTCAATTTTTCTTAACGCACAACATTTCTTTATACTTTAATATTTTATTATTTTTTACAGTACCCAGAATGTAGCAATCATCTTTCTATGAAACCACTGCAGTGCAGTAGATGAGTACCACCCACATTATATGCAATTTCAAATTCTAAGGAATTCTAGTACAATGGTAAACTGTTATCCAAGTTAGTTATGTTTCTGGAATGTGAAATTTTCTTAAATTATGGAAGAAATAAGTTCATATAGGGATCCAGGTGTACAGCGAAGTAATTAGGAGTATGTTACAATATGTCTAAATGACTGTCGAAGGATGTGCTTAATGTCTTCGCAAGACACAAATGGCATCAGACAATAATCTCAATGATGTGCCAAGAAATTCTCATACATCATTGTTTACACTAATCTCTGCCATCCTACAAAAGGAAATGTTTCACTTGATTTCTGAGCTTTCGTGTCTTGAACACTTTTACTGTTTCCTTTCATTTGTCATTGCTTGCAGAAACTAATTATTTATTTCCTACTGATGAGTTATCAGTGGATACATGAACAAGTGAAGTAATTATACTGAGTTAAATTGTGAGTCGATAATTAAGTTACCAACTGAATGGTCAAGACTGTAACCTCATTCTAATGATATATTATTATATATAATTACATTGTCCTTAATATCTTGGTACAATGTTCTAGGTCCCCTTAAGGATAGTGAACGTGCCACGCGCCTATTTTATTTTACCTTAAGCACCTTTTTTTTTATATATTCACGCTCATTCTACAATTAGGCCTAACGACAATAGTCGAATTAAGCAACAGTACGACAGTGCGGAACTTGCTGATGTCGAGGTCATAAATTGATATTTGAAGCTCATACAAATATCTCATAGGTGCGTAACAGTTGAATCATTGTACGTGTATTAATGGCAATAGTTAACCGTGTGATATTTTGCGTATGACGTTTAACGTTATCGCAGATCAACTTTGCCTTACAAAAATTGCTCAGTATTAGTCACAGTGATGATAGGATGATTGGAATCGATAAAAAAAGATATTAGTAAGCGAATTTCGTACACGCAACTGACGATATGTCAATGTGCTCTTTAGCATTGTCTAGTGGAATTTTTGAGTCGTGGGCGTCGATTAGTGCACGTATTGAATTGGCACGGTCGTAAGGTCAATCCTGTTACTTCCTAAAGGCAAATTCTCATTCGATTCTTTGCTGTCCCTTGATTACATAGCAAATAAAATGACAGGGGCCTTGATTTCGCGTGAGAAAGTCAATTCGAGTGCTTTGTCCATATACTGATGATATTTCTAGACATTTTTTTGTAATTATTTTTTTTGAAACTTACATCACAGTGCAACTCTGTAACAGCATCCTGTTCTATACGGCAATACTAAGGAAGTCATAATAAATTTTAGCACTTCGACTAATGGTAAGTTGCAAATACTTTCAAGAAAATTAAAGGAGTATTCACATTTACTAGAATTCTAATCCAATAGTGTGTGAAAATCGTTAACTCTTTTTTTTTTCAGCGCGATATCGCCTTGTCGACACTTTCGACCATGGAAACGAGTCACAGGCACGTCTAGTATTTTTATTGAACAGAAGAAAGTTCCACACAAAAAACCAAGAACAAGAACTGGCAGCTGCTCACACTCCCACGACTTCGCTATTGGCGTTAGAGCACAGTTAGCAAACGAGAGCACCATGAAGTTTTTTCGTTCGCTAAGTCGGTTCTTCCTTTGATTCACGTAGTGGAATAGATAGGTGTACTCGAATAATTTGCGTTTGGCAATTAAAATTCTTAATTGTACTATTTCCCTCGTTAGGGAGACCTAATAACGAAAAGGTAGTAGAAAGCGAATTTACGGGTTAGAAAAATTGCATCTGCTCTTTGGCAGCCTTGGATCAAATCAAGCAATAGCCAAGATCGTCATTGTGATTCCATTACGAAATTCAACCACGAAGACAGCCATTTCGTCGGTGACAGTACACTGGCAATACCACAAGCAATACCTGGTTAACCGATGACAGTCATCCAAGTACCAATTCCTATTACGAAATTGACCTCAATTCCCAATTTCTGTACTTCAACCATCGAACTCGTCAATCAGTCTTTTTCCTGTAGTTGATATCGTCACTGTGATCGCTGATAGGAACTAATTTAATTATTACGCTTTGTTTCCAGACCGGAAGTTGCGTGTCTACCTTGAATGTGAAAAATTCCCGACTCTCCTATGATTGCCCATAGTAAATATTTCTACTAAAATTCTTTCACCTAACACCAGCCGTGATGGCTTGTTAGAGCAGAAAAAATTTGTTACAGTCATTACTTGTAAATATCTCACATGTCGTACAAATACCGTTATATCATTTGAATTTTACGATTCCAACGTTTTACGGAAACGCGTTCCACTTTCACGACGTTCGTTCGACGTGCGTCGCCGAGCGTCGGGACGCTCGCGTGTTTACCTGGCAACGTGAGAATTTCGCAAAGTCCTATTGAAACTTTGCAAATCGCTTAACCAGAAAACAGATCCTTCTTGGAATAACCTAACATAACCATAGTCGTAAACAACCATAAGAGGCATTTATATATAAACGAATTTCACGAGCGTGTAAATCGTATCTTCTTCCTTGGACTGATCTTACACGTGGATAACATTATATTCCTATGTAAAGAGACTTTATCTTCACTTCAATCAACGATCTTGACTATCGCTACGTTGAGCTTCGTTCAGAGTCAAATAGAGACGTTTTAGCTACTATAATCATCTAACGATAGAGCAATGAACGACTATTTGCATTTGCTACTCGAACGAGCTGTGTAAACCTGGCGAAACGTACAATTTTCCGTAAATTGCACAAGAGTCGCTGGATTAAGAGAAAATAAAATTTATCACGATGAATTTGCGGCATTACACGGTATACGTACAGTTAGTTTCGGTATAAATAATGAAAGATATGTATTAGTGAAAAAAAGGTTCTAATTCATTTTCAATTTCAAATTTAAGTTAATTAAATTACTTATTGCCCGAAAAAATTTTACGTCCCACCAGCAAACGGTTGTAGCGACTCAATAATTTCTGAAAGTTGTTTCCGACATATTGTTAGTTTAACCACAGGGTGTCTCTTGGCATATAAAAAGATCGCTCGTGCGCTCGTACGAGTAATAGCGAATAAGTATAGTCGATACGAATAGTTAGCAGCTATCTACTATGTTATACCTGTATATCTATATGTCCTGTAAGATAGGTCGGATTCTGCTCGTTCAAATGGAGGCTCGTTTCTCCTATCTGTTAATCAGAGTCTTATGGTAACATGTACTGTATATGCGTATATAGCAACGCACTGTTCTCGTACTGGAGATTTGTATATCATAGGTATAGATATAACGCACGCTAATCCACAAGCCTGTTGGATCGAACGGAACGGAACCACTTTTACACCGCATTCTTGGCATTGAGGTGTCTTTCGAACCACGCCTTCTCTTGCTCTCCGCTGTTCCGTGGGTGTGGTATTACTGCGAGTTTGTATGACGTGTGCCTTGTATATTTTACGAGCGATAAAACCTAATAACAAAAGAATATTAGGACATAAGAAGTAGAGCCTTATGCGTCTATGAAAATCGAGAGAATGTTGCTGGAGAGTGGATGCTGTTGAAATATGTAATTTCTTGTGTGAAGAAGAAGAAAAAAAAAAGGAAAAAGAAAAATTGTTAATTTTCATTTGCTTGCTGCGAAATAGCAGGAAATTTTTTTATTATGCAAAGAATGTATTGTCGCACTGTGCATTGTCACGTGGTATAATAAATTTTATCGGGAGATAAATTATAAGAGAAAAATATTCTTTAAGATTTTATATATATATGGAATTTCCATTGAAATAATTATTAAACGAACACTTTTAGTTATTAATTAGTCATTTATTCGTGGTATTATCATTTTGATTGATAATGAATTAATTAAGCTAAGGTCAAACTGTTTTTAAGTGTATGCGGAATGCGAACTTGAACTATTGAAGGATCGATGTGCGAGTACGAGATAATTTAGGGATATTTTTTAATTCGTTAATTAAGCCTTGTTGGATATCAAGGTAAATCAATTAAGAAATCGTTAATTATTCTAGTGGCAATGATTCTAATAAGTGTTAGATACCGATCGACAGCCATCAATATTGTCAATGTATTCAATAGGTTTAAGCGGCGGCGATTCCTGCCTTCAACTTATATGATTATTAAAAATTTTTGTGATATCCATAATTCGATATGTATCGATATATCGATCTGCGATATCGCGAATCGCGAGCGAGGTCGTTTTCTACCGAAATTTTTGAACGGTCAGATATTGAAAGGCGACCGGACAACGTCTCTTACGTTCACTTTGAAATTGGTTTTGTATACTTTCCATTTTAAGGTAATGGATAAGCGCTATTGGCTATTATTCGTTACTCCTAATGGACTCTTTGGTAATTGATTATTCTGTACTAATGGATAGGTAAAGCTCGTTCGTGTTTGTCGATTTGCTTGTTTTTATTCTTGTATCTTGTCAGCCTCCTAGTTACTGGTTTTACGTACAGTTTGTAAATTGGATAATACGCTTTCGTATTGGCTCTTAGATCTTTTATATGAATTCTTAACGTGGGTTATACTTGAATTTAGGGATTTCGCATTTTCTTATTATTTCATTGTTGAGTGTATTGGAGTAAATTTATATAGTTGATATTATAATTAACAATTTTTACCTTGTTTTGGATATTAAATATGGGAAACGTATAATGAAAATTTATTTAACTTTTTTTGGATAAATATTACAATTAATAATAACCTTATCTCTTTGTAGGTCTTCGTCTTGTCGAGGGATGCTGCGATGGAGCTGTTCTTCAAGATCTATAAATAATTCTCCTCGTAGTTGGACATCAGTGTACTCGTCAGGTGCATAACAGGTGTATCCCATCAAGGTTTAATGATCTTATTGTACCGTATTGAATTATCGTTAAAGAAGGGTGCACGTCTCTAGGATACTTAATGATTTCAAGTTCAGGTCTTTCCTCTTGTCTGCCGACCTCGTTAGCGCTGGTATTACGTAATTGGACAGTTTCGAAGCCATCGTAGACTTTACTTCAACCGGCAAGTCAGCCGGTTGCATCATTGAAGATCATTGCACCTCCACAAGACGTCCTCGAGCGGACAAGATCACGGAGCGTTCTCGAAAGATCAGCATCCACTGTTCGCTTAGCTCTGTAACGATGATGTTAAGTGTTTTGGACTAAATATATATTTTTTTTTTTTTTATAATTAATTATCCAGACTACCGAAGTCATTTAATTTTTTGTTTGCTTTAACGAAACACCAAACGTCCTAATCAGGTTCCTTTATTGGCCACGTGATCATCTTAGAAATCGGTATTTCGTTTGGCTTTGCAATAATTAACTAGCCTGAAATGGTGTTGCTGGTATCCGTCTTTGTAATGTCTAAAGGATATTTTCTTGCGCCGTAAATGCGGAAACGTCGGACTCACTGTATTACACTGTATTACGGATAAGAGAAAACGTAAGAATTATCCACGTTCGCTGTACTAACTTATTGCAATTGTTTAATAAACCGTAGATAAGGAATATCGAAATCGATGATCGCGACGATCGATCAGCTGGTTGAACTGATTTGTAATTCGACGTAAGATTCGAGTAATCGCAAATATTCGCTCTCGAAAATCACTCGTCTAAAACGCAAATCGATTTTGATCACAGTCGGATTTGGTTGAATATTTGGGATTGGACATTTTTTTAAGACGTTTGCTAGGAATTTTAAATATTTTTTTTTTGAACTAACAATTTTCTCGTGTGTCAGGTACACAAGGTTTAATTGGCTTATCGGAGTGTTACTTGGCGAATTCTTGGGATTTTTCGCGGAAAGATATTCCAGTGTTACGGGTTTCTTCTTCTTTGTTTTTTTCTTCATTAACAAGGCGTTCGAAAGGCGGTTCGATGTCGCGGGAACAATTTCAATTGGCTATCAATTAATTTTAATTGGGTATCGATCGATGCTCGATTTTCTTTACCGGAAGTGACGTACCATTTTAAACTTGAAAATCGGCGTATTTGAATTTTTTACTCGGATTCGTATCATTTTCTAGCTAGTTAACGTGATGAATTTTTATACTGTTTTTTTATTATGAATTTTTAGTCTGTTTATATTAATTTTCGATTTATACTTTGAAGCAAATCTAACCAACATTATCCAGCTATTAAACACTGTATAACCATCTTGAATGACTAATAAGATATAATTACGAATAGGACAGCACGAAACAGCCTGTATTTGCCGATTAGTATTCGCTACCGAGTGCCAGCCGTTCGTTTACCTAATTTGCGAAAAATTCATTCGTATGTAAATTCAGTGAACGTATAAGCTGTACATAGACATCAAGTTGTAAATCGATAGGGAAAAAAATCTATATTTCAAATTTGAAATTGATTTAAAAAATTTAATAATTTCAGATCAAACATTTATATTTTTCAAAATAACCCACTTAACGTAACAACAATGTGAAACGTATAAAGTTCATCGATAAAATTTTGTCAATGAATTTACATAAATCCTCATTGTCAAATCAAACATGATTTTCTTGATCGATCAAATTTAATTGTTATCGATACACCATGACGTATAGCGAAACCGATTAATTCCTAACTTAGCTGATGACGTAAATTAAGGCGTGTCCCCTTCCGATCAGCTGTCAAAAAGCACGTGTCACGTATTGACAATCCACGGGCCTCGAAACGTCATTGACAGCGGCAATTATAAGCATGTTCTGGTTTCGTAATACCGCTTATTAACAGGCATCTTTCTTATTTCCGTTTTGTAATTTCAGTAATTCAACATAGAGCACTCATATAAAGGTGGGTCTCACAATGGAACCATTCTCTTATTACAATTGAATAATAGCAAGGTCGGCGCTATTTTCATATTCGTTAACAATTAAGTTCGCCCCTGTAGTTTTTGCCCTACTTTACCTTAGGCAATCAAAAATAATTACGTTTACGTAATAGTCTAAAAATTTTTTTTTTATTTTTAATAAATTTCTTCAAATCACCATACGGTGTTGGCAAGAAATTTAAATTTTTACTCAATCCCATGTATATCGCTATGTTCAAACGAATTGAATGTCTTATGTAAATGCACTGCACAATTGCAGTCTAGGATCATTCAAGGCCGTGCATATCGATTGCATAGTGCATCCAGTTTATGATTCCATATGAGAAAGCGGATGTAACGCTGCGAATCAAGACGTTATTAATGAAGTTCGTGATAATTCGTAAGAAGCGTATCCATTGACGGCATTTACCCGAGGTCGAGAGGTCACTTTCGATAATTCGCACTCTGGTCCCCATTAAAGAAATTATACGCATCGTTGACCTCGGCAGCTACAGGTACAATTTTCGATTGGTAGACTATACAATGTGTGCACTTTATTTTCAATCGCCGTGATTTATTTGAAAGCGCTGCACTTGCCGGTAAATCAATGTACGTTCACTATCTAGTTCTAAACTAGTTTCAATATGCGGATCTGAATCATTATAATTATCGTTGATTTTTAATATTGAAAATGACACAGTCTTTACTATTGTTTAATTGGGTATAGTTTCCTTATTTTGCAAATTTTTTAAAAATTTAACATTTATGTGTTGCTAATTGGTGGTTCGCATTTGGCAAATAATCACACTGGATAATTACTGTCGCGAGTCTAGGAGACGCCAGGCTGAGCGAACTTACTAGCTGAGCAGTGATAGCTCAAATAGTCTGTACGGCATAACTCGGAATTTTGAGTTGGGCAATTGAGGCGACGTTAATTAAGGTACATGTTAACGATTAATAATCGTTCTTTAAAATCCTTCGGAATTTGACTCTTGGTATTTTTTTGTCGCTGAGAAAAAAATAGTAATTAAATAATTACGGATAATGCACAATGAAGGAAAATTTTTTTAGACGTAAAATTTTTTTAATTTTTTACCTAATTTTAATAATAATTCAGCTCGTGCCGAATTTACTTATTATTATTAATCAACGTTTAACGCTCGATCCATGTGTAATTGAAATTTTGCGATTCCAAGCCGTGAGGCACCGTCGATTTTTATTTGACTAAAAATTAATTTTTTGGAAATACGCAGTCCGCTTGACTCGATGCTAATTTAATTAATTTTAGTCATCTAATTAATCTGACTCTTGTATACTCTGTGGCAATAATTGCTACTGTGCGAATCCGAACAAGTGCAGAATTCAGAACGGAGTATCGCGTGCTCAATAAATATTCGCGATCAGTTAAACAGCTCGTGAACGATATAATGGATATATGCTCGAGTAAAAGCTTTAATAAATATATCTGATATATCAAATCTATACTATGCACAAATGCTTCGACTATAATATATTTACATTATAGTATGTATATGCAAGCGCGTAAGTCTATTCGTATCCTTACTAGAGCGCGTAGGCAAGTCCGATAGAGAAAGTCAATAGTCGCAACGCGTGCTCTTACTATAATAACGTAATGTACGTGCAATAGGTATGGTATGAAAAAAGCGAATCAAATTTCGTAAAAGATAAAAATAAATTGTTCATTCTATTTGCCTGGCCAACCAATGAAATTTATTGTTGTTATGCAATTAAATATTCATTCACGGTCACTATACTCCATCCAAGCTTTTAAATTGCGAATTATTATACTTTTGCTATTCGCGTATACGTTATCGCTGTATTAAAACGCTATCGAGCGATCTAATGGTGAACCTTTGGCTAATGAAGTGTATCGGAATTCTAACATCTAACGGGTGGCTCGAGTATATCTGCCATGTATCTGTATCAACTAATCCTCACTTTTCACATTTCGCGAGCAGTGTAATGTTTCGCTTGGGATCGTATCTTGACGAGTGTCTTATTAGATCTTACTGATGCTTTATGATCATCAGAATTAAAGGAGGATACGCTGCTTCGCGCTTTTTACTCATTAATGATCTTTTCAACTTTTTATTCGAACACGTGTTTCTTAATTTAATGTATTATGGTACTTATTTGTAATTTTGACTGGGTACAATGATCATATGTTGAGGATCTGATGAGAGCAATTGCTGACAATTTTGAATTGATAAGAGATCCTTGGAGGGGGGGGGGAGTGATTATGGATAAATTACAGGTTTTTTGGTCTCATATTTTTTTTGAAAAAAATGTAAGGCTTTTTCGTGATTACTCGTAATTATCATAATGAGTGTAAAGCTACTAACTTTTTTTGTATTATTTATCCGTAAATGTTTTGAATGTTTGAGTTTATAATTTTCAGCTGGATTATAGATTTTTTCGAGTTACGCTTCGTTAGGTCGGTCTTTCGATTTGTCATTGGGATTCGGTCGAATTCTCAGAGAAGACGAATGATCGGTCCGTTAATGGAGTGATATAACGAGCGAGATTTACGATCGTGCTTTAAGGCAGTTTTCAAAGGGACAGCGCCATTCTTGCTGCGTTCCACGATAATTGGACGGAAGACTCGACACGGACGCGACGTGAATATAAAAAAAAAATGGCAATCCGTTGCATCGCATAGTTTTGGTACGATTACAATGCGCATTATGTAATAGTTTGAGGCGTATGAAAATAATGAAAAAAATGTCGATGAAATTGTGAAAAAATATTTTTTTTTGTTCACGAAAAAAAAAAAAAAAAGTTAAAATTTATTTCTAGCAAACTGCCGAGTATGACTTTTTTAGGTTATTGGTAAATTTGCACTTTTATTGTTTAATCGAAAGTATCGGTTATCTTTTCGAATTAACGTAATCAG